CAATAACCTGGGCATCATGCAACTTCCAGAGGCCAGTCCTGATGACTGTTGGATAATTCACTGAAGTGCACGACTTTGAATCAACTCAAACACTAGTTTTTGAATCTTAGCTATTGGGAATTCAACCTTGTGATGTGCTGAGCAGGTTTCTTTCCAGTGACCCGACTGCCATATGAGCTCAGAACTCTAAAAAGCCACCGAAGCCTCAGTGGTGACCTCTTGAATTATTGATGTTGCCATTTAATGAGGGGTATGTGGGTGTGTGTGTGTGTGTGCACAGGGAATACTTCTTTGTTTTTCAAAAGGTTTGGTATGAATAGAGTAAATGAGAGGCTCGAGAAAAGACAGTGGAAAATGTAGGTCCTTGGCACAGGATCCATACATCCCACACAGAGCCTTGTCCCTGGCCTGGTTTGGTGCTTGGGTGCTGCCACAACTATTGCTCAGGAGGTCCCCGTGGATGGAGAAAGGCAGCAGAGGCTTCAGTGTCAGTGCAGAAGAAAAGACCTTCCACAGGGTTGACTGTGGCTTCTCTCTGAACATCCTGGTGGCTTTTGAAGCAGACAGAACTGCACCCATCACAGCCTGTCCTGGTCTGGCATTCACCGAGTGGAGAGTGTTCAGAAGAGTGATTAAATTTCTTTTAGCTACGAAGAGGGTCCACTCATCTTTGACAAAAGGCACTGCTGGGGACTTCTGTCCCTAAAGAGGTCACCACAGGATACAAAACGGAGAATGAGCAGGTCTTCTGTGCAAGGCACACTTAACATGTTGCCATAGAAACCAGTTACTTAATTCAGGCATACACAATTCTTCCAGCCCCCAGTGAATTCCAGTAATGGGTTTATTATATCACACTTCATTGGTGTCATCTGTCACACAGACACTCACATAAATGAACCAGCCTTTGATTCAGAACTCCTTTCCACTAGCTAGACCCAGTAGGGGAAGGGTCTCCTTCTGGGCCTGGTGGTTATGAGCAGGTCAGCGTTCCAGCCCACTTTGCATTCTAATGTCTTCCTTTCATGCAAACATCACATTCAATGGAGGAGAACATTGTTTTCATTTCCTGATATTCCAGTTTATTAAAAACGTGCTCTTAATCTCTCAGATCCTCGAGTGCACGTGCTGCCAGGATGCAGGTTCAAACATTTCAGTCCCTTTTTCCCCCGACATGATGTTTGAACTGCAACTCACATTTGTGGCAGGCACATTCTTCTCTCTCTTAGGATTTTTTCATAGAGGAGCACAGAGTGAAGAAAGAGAAAACAATTTCTATCTCTGCTCATTGTTTTTCCCATGTGGAATGTGTTTGGAGAATTTTTTTACCTGGAGTGAGTGCTTGATTGATTTCTGGTGAGGATTGTTTAAGCCTGATGGCCAATCCAACCCACTGGTGTCTCTTGAGAGAGGACCATGAGTTGTGAATTAGTTAGATATGGTAGTTAGAAAAAGTAGATATGTAGTTTTAGTATCTCCATTAAATAGTATGTTAATATATTACAGCATAGTTATAATAAAGAAATCATTCAGCCTTCTGAACTGGAGTCAGACATCATCATTTCTTCCCACCATGTTCACCTGAATTTACAATACACATTGATGCCTGTTGCAATGCTGTGTTAATTTCTCCTTTTGTTTAGGCCAAAGTTTTGATTTATGTTAGCTGACCTGAAGGCTCATTTTAGACTCCATCACAAAATACAGTGTTTTTAAGTTAGAAGAAGAGATGGAGGGAAAGTGGGTAAAAGAGGTTTCAATTCATTAATAAGACTCCATGCCAGTACTCCCTGTAGATGGACTTAGAGATGATGAACAGACCTTAAAAATGTGGTGTTGGTTTTAGTTCATGAACTAATGATGAGGATCCTAGGATTTCAGATGGATTGATTCTATCTACTAAAGTACTCTGGATCTGAACAAGAGTAAGGGATTTAACAAATGCTTGAGTAAAAGAAAATGGAAAAGATGTATTAGTGAGTAATCTTCTTGCATTTCTATATGAGTTGTTCCCCAATGCCTTCTGTCTCAGATATATCTTATCTGAGATGGAATGGAGATATGTGCCCCTGTCAGAGGTGAAAAATAAGGGGCAATCTACCAGACAAGGGATATGCCTTATGTTCTGCCATGACATTGTCATGTCACTCATCCAAATGTCTTTTGCTCCATCCTAGTCTCCTAAAATTTTCTCTTCTGACAAATTTTTTACCTTGCTTTTAGGAAGAGACTCTTTCAGTGGTCTTGGTGGCCAGAATGTGCTGAATGAGCTGCATCTCAGTTTACAAATGTGTGTAAGTTACTGCAGCTCTAGCACCTTCTCCTTTCACGCCTACATTCTCAGTTCTGGAAGCCAGTTGACCTGAAATCTTGTTTCATTATATGTCCCAGCATGGGTTTAATTTTTTTTTTTATTCCTTTTGTGCTCTGTTAAAAAAGAAATTTGTGTCTGTTCTCAGAATGAATAGGACCCAAGAATAACCTGAGTCTCATGTGGTGAAAATGGCTTCAAACCCCTCAGTAAAGAAAACTGGCATTTATGTCAGAGCATTAATTAGCACTTGAGTTGGAACAGTTTTGATCATTTCAGACGTGCTGTCAGCTTGTGATGTGAGCCCCTCAGCAATCCAAGGCTTAGCCAGAATCTGTAACTGGGTAGGTCAGAGTGGAGGTGAAAAAGAAGCAGAGAACATGGAAGAAAATCCTGGTGGGGATTCAGTCAGCTGCCTTCAAAGTCACTTGAGTCAGTGCTTGAGGGAATGCCCTGGTGACATTAGTGACATCTTCAAAACAAGGTGTAAAATTGCAGTTCTGAGGTGTGTGGGCAAAGCTCCCCTGAGAGCTGCAGTAACAGTAGCAGTGTCACTCAGGCAAACCTGATCAGGTATCACTGTAAATAGCAACACTGCCTTCCTTTATTCCAGTTCACAAAAGAATCTGCTATGTCATACTGCTGACCTGAAAACTTGGTGCTTCTGCACCCTTTCCATGGGGACATTACTTGGATTGATTAAGAGATCTCTGTAAAGTCTGTCCAGAGCTTGACAACCCTTTTGGGTGAATGTGCTGTGAAACAGTATTTGTCTTGTCCTCTGCTAAGTTGCACACAGAATCCTGAGTGCTGTTTTAAAGCTTCAGCACTTCTCCCATGGAGGGAGTGACCTCTGCACCTATTCAATTCATGTTCATGAATGGATTTGGGATCTATAAGGGTAACCTGTAAATTTAGGACTATTCTTATTATTGCTATTGTTTTCTGACATCTCCTACCATGCCATAGATTGATTAAGCACACACATACTCATTTCAGTGTAGCTGCTGCCCAAATTGGCAGGATCACTTTGACACTTGTAATCACAAAGGTTTGTGTTGGGTGAATATTTTATTATTTGATTTTATGCCATCCACTTCTCAGATTTGTTGTAGCAGCAGCACATGGTCTTGATATTCCCTGAGGTTAAGTAAGCACAAAAGCCAACATAGTGTGGGGGATACTGTACTAGAGAGGGAAGGGTTATTTTGTATTTAAGGCCGAAGCATTTCCCTCAGACCCTGAATTCTGTCCCTCACTCAACCAGAATTGTCCTCTTTTACCACAAAACACTTCACCTTCTTGTGCTGCTCTTTTCTCATCTGTGAAATGGCAGCAGAAACCTTGTGTGTGTGCTGAAGATCATTAGCTGGGTTTTGCAAAGTACTTCCAGATTTTTGATTGGAAGGCACACAAGAATGGAAAAAAATATTACTTGCTGAGATTATTGACGTGGCAAGTTGTAACCTCCCTACAGAAGACATTTGGATGTATTTGAGTTGCATTTGACTTTGACATGAAATGAATCATGATAACTGACCAGGAGAATGACCACTCCAGAAATAAGGCAGTTCAGTAGTCAAGTGATCTATTCCAGATTTCTAATATGCAGAGAGGTTTCTTAGCCTGTTACGTGCAGTTGATTTCCATCTCTCCCTACTGCTGTGCCCTGCCTTGGGTATAGTACCTTAGTTTCTTCTCCTGTGCATTTTGAAGTTTCTGAAGCCTATCTGGACCATTCACCTCACACCTAAGTTTAATTTGCAGATAAGTGTTACTGCTGAATCTGCTGACCACTTCCAGACATTGAAACCAAAAGGATTGTGACTTCTCTGAGGAAGAGAGAAGAAAGTGAAAGGACATTAAAAGATTCAAGCCTTTGTTGTAATTATAGAAATATCTTATAATATTGCTTTGTGACTTTTTCTTCTCTGTAAAATGATACCAATGATATTTATGGTCTTTCCCATCTGAATAGTTTCAAGGTTGATGAAAAGAGTCTAATCAGTAGTTAATGTTCTTGTCAAAGGAACTTATCAGAACAATTGTACATTTATTTAGAAAACACTCTTTTGCATATGCTTAAAAACAAATAAGAATATTCATACCAAGGGAGGGCTTTTCCCACCATTGAAAAGTGAATTCTGGCTGCTAGCTCCCACCTCTGCTTCCAAGCAGTTTCATTTCTGAAACCTATGGCTTGATACAATCAGCCATAGTCAACATCAGCAAGAAAAGTGAAAGCAAGAAAACATTAAACTTGGAGGAATGATGTATTTAAAAGTCAGCCAATCATCTATGATGTTTTATATGGAGAAGAAAAAGAAGGATCATGCAGTTCATGCCATCCTAAAGTGAAAATGGTTTGGATAAATCAGATCTACAGGTCTGTGTTTCCCTACATGTACTTTGCTAGAATTCTAGTTCAGTTTTGGGCATCTGCAGTGTCAAATTAGGCAATGTTCATATTACCTATGAGCTCTCATAAAATAAATTTGTTAAAGAATTTCTATCATTGATGTACATATAATTTCTCCCTCTTCTTTATTTGCTTAACATAAAGCATTTAGGGATGGGATACCTTTCTTAATTTATATGCACAGTATCTCTTTGAGATATACTCTCTGGTTTCCTGGCAGTCTTGAGCTGTTTGTCATTAAACTTAGCCCAAACCTCAATTATTGCTTACCTCTCCTCTGGTGCAGGGCACTGCATCTGAATACCTGGAAGTGCACATGGAGCCTTCCTCAACGAGATCATCCTGGAGCCCAAAAGTAGCTGTACAGTTGACAGAGAAATATTTGTAGGGCCTCCAAGTCTGCCCATAATCCTGGGACCTTTCCAACACCATGGCAGCTGGGCGGGGTGACTTGAACACAGCAATGACGTGGGTCAGGTAGAATTCTGTTTCAAAGTCCAGTCGGATTTCTTCTCTGTGTACCCCTTGGGCAGACTGCCACCAGGAGATGGGGTTGGCAAAGAAATCATCTGTCATGTCAGCAGGGAGGTGGGAGTTATCGGGCTGGTTGGTGTTGCATTTGGCGCAGCGGGGCTGCCCGCAGCCAGGGGAGGTGTGGTGGAGGAGGTTCTGCTCCGGGTAGGAGCAGTAGAGCTCTGTGCTGTTCTGGCCACACGTGGTGGTGGTCACTGGTGTCCTTCCTGTGGCCAGGTTTCCCACGGGAGGGTTGCAGGCACGGCCGCTGCAGCGGAAGGCTCGTGGCCTCGTGGGATCTGGAGGAAAAAAACGCAAGGAGAATTTCTCAAGTAGTTCTCACAGTGTGACAACACAAATGTTTGGAGTCCTCATCTGGGGACTGACATTTAAGAGGACACCTTTGAAGGAGAGCTGCTTCATCTTTTGGCACAAAGTTTTGCAATAGTGTCTCAATAAATCTAGACCTTGTGTTTGGTGCCTAACTCAGAAACTGATTTTAGAAAAACTCATGCTTATGGTGCTTAACTTTGATTTCTCTTGAAAATGCAATTGTGCCAGTCTATTGAATTTTATAGTTAACCTGAGAAATCTAGTGGTTTTGACTTTCCCTCCAGGAAAACTCCACATTGAAGGAGTGAATCTATTCAATGCCTTTATTTTCATGGTAATCAGAGAGCAAAGTCAAACTGGACCAGACACTGTCGATACATAAAGAAGAGAGATGATTCCTGCCTAACAGGCTACAGACTCTAATTACACACATGAACACATAAAGAAAGCCTGTATTTCCATAGCTGAGTGTTGAGTTTCTACTGCTTCTAATAAGATCAGGTGGAGTTATGAATTTGTAGCAAATCTAAAAGTCAAGTGTCCCTTATCTTTAAATACCTTGATGTGGAAGTAGGTGATTACATTCTATTTGCCAAGTTTGCAAATACTGACAATTTTCTGGTATCGTCAATGTATATATTTACTTATTTCTAAATTAAGAAAAGGTAGGGATAACTACAAAGTCTTAATGTTGTTTGAAAATCAATAGTGTCTGGAATTAAAGGTCATTCCAAAACCTTATTACTGCACTGAAGAAAACTGCATTTCTAGTGACATATAATGTTCTCTTTGCAACTTAACACTCTAGAAGGACTTAAGGACTGACCTTGCAAGGTCATAAATCTAATCCAAGAGGTCACAAGTCAGATGATTGGATTTAGGTCCTGCAGGAAATGACCCTTCCAATGAAACGTAGGATAGCTGTAAACCCTGGGTAATCTAGGAGTAGTTCAAAGGTCAGCTATAAGTTCAACATTCTAGGTCAAATTGTAAAATCCTTACTCCATTTATATTCAGCTTTTCCCTAGGTAAAATTAGTTTAAATATCAAGTTAGGTCAAAGAAAGGGATCTCCAAGTCAGCCTTATGAAAGTACTCAGATGGTAAATGTTGTTGAGTGAGATGGACATTCCTCTTTCCAAAAGGAAAGTTTAAAGTGGAAAAAGGCATTCAGCTTGCACAGTTTTGCTTCTGAGTTGATTCTGTCCTTAGTTCCTCAGTGACATCTCTGCACAGGCCAGGAAAGAAAGGTCAGACATGAACACTGTTTTGGAAAACACCCCATGCATTTTGCATTCCATGGTTAGGATGCAAAATAGTTATTGCATGAGCACTGAATCCCTTTGACCAATGGTTTGTGCCATTTTAGCTTACATACAGTGTAAGGTAGTCTAAAACTTCAGATAGCAAGGAAGAAGATCATCCACAAATGCCCTTGTCTTCTCCTAGAAACAGGTGGAAGCAACCTTCAAGGTAATTTGAAGTGTGTTGGCTGTCAATGATTTTTTAGTGATGTCAGTCCCAGGAGCCTGGCAGAGCTCAGGGGGCAGCAGTGCCTGAATTACAAGAGCACCTGACAGTCCTCAGATCAAAGGAATGGAAGTGCCCCTCCCCAGCCCCACCACCACTCCCAGTGCCAGCACAGACATGAGGAGCTGCAGATCCATCTGGAGAAGAAGAAGATGGGGATTTTTGGCTCTGTTTGCTCTGTTTTGTGCTCCTCACCTCCACCTGAGCAGGAGATTCCCAGCACTACCAGAAGTAAGCAGAGATACAATGAGCTACGAGTGCACACCTCAAGAATGTCTTCGCAGGTGGCATTTAGGTTCCTGTCCAAACTGCTTGGCAAAAACTGCTGGAAATAAGGAAGGCAATTTCTGTGTTTAAAGTAGATTCAGTATTAACTGATTTTGCCCAGTGCTGCACAAAGTGTCATCTTTGCCTCCAGAGAATTATAATGGGACGGGTCTCACAGCTGAGCTTTGAACAAGCATTAGTTCTGACTAAGAGTCAGGTTACTTAGTTTTGATTATAAATTGATCCATGTTACAAATGTTATTGGATTATGGATGATTATGTATAAATATACCAGGTAATTAAAAGAAAGTCCATCTCTATTGATGGATTATGCTACTAAAGCTTCATAGAAGAAATGGGATGCTGGAGTTCTAAATTAAGGAAGTTGCATAAGGGAGACTTTGCAGACAAAAAATGTGAGAAAGCAGAAAAGGAAACATTTTCTGGAGGGAATGGCTGCTTTTTGTGTTTCCCATAAAGGGGCTATTAGCTTTGTATTGAATTTTTAGCTGTTTTTTTCTGAGCCTTGAAAAGAAAGGTGTATTTTCTCCTGAAAGCCGGTCACAAGAAGGTTTATCTGCTCTGCCTGCTAATGCAGCAACATCAATAAACAGTTCCTGTCTGAACTGCTGTGTCAGAAAATGGGAGAAGAACAAAGTGCAAATTAGCAGAAGGAGAGAGATTGGAAAACAAAATCTGCAGTCGATTAAAAGCTTTGTATTTAAAGAAATCAATTGGCAGAACATTGTTTGGCCACAAGGATAGTGGAGCCTGTCCATCGCTCACTGGTTCTGTGGAAACAACATGAAATGTTGAGTCTGGACAGCAAGGGGAGAGTGCTGCAGGAGAGAAACAGCAGCCAGGCAAACACTCAACTTACCCCAACTGCCAGGAGGACTCACTGAATAATTCATAGAGAATTAAACAGTTTGATTATGCATGGGCACTGCATGTTATTTTAAGGCTGATTAGCTTTTACTCCGTGGACGGTGGCTTGGCTCCATAAATGGTATGATTAATTTATTTGTTTGTTTTCTGGTCCCTCAGAGCTGTGCCACAAAGTGGCAGGTCAATGGCACATGCCCAGCACGTGTTATAACAATGGTGTTATCTGGTGATTAGAGAATCATACAGTTCAGGAGAGGTCATACTATTGATATTCCTGGGACACCATTTCAAATAGAGACCTCTTCACAACCTTGTCATGCACTAAAACATTGTATTCATTAACTAAAAACATGTTCAATTTTTTTTTTCTTCTTTTTTTTTTTCACCGTCTATTGGATACTCAACAGAAGAAAGGTCATATGGCAACTCATCCAAAGCCTGCTGATATGACTGGAAAGATGCTTAATATTTTCTGAGTGATTTGAATAGGAATTTTTATTTCTTTTTCATATGCAGATTTATGATTTTGTGTGTTCAAATCTCCTGCAGTGAGTCAGAACAGTAAATTTTACATATCTCAGAAAGGGCAAAACTTTTGTGCATCTTCTGCTGTGTGTTTAATGGAGCAATTTCAGCATGTATGTCCAACCTAGATTTCACTTGTTATATATCTGTTCAACTTCTTTCTTCATAACCAAGCCCTTATAAATGTTATTATAAATCTAACCACCCTAGGGACTTAAGTTGCTCAAGTTTTTCTTAGTCAGACCTAGAATTTTGCCCTTTAACACTGGTTTCAACAGCTGTACAGCTCAGGTTTGTCTGGGGCCAACATGCAGGAAGGTTTGGCAGGTCTTTATCCCCTTATGAGAAGCCTGGTGTGTTTCTGCACTAAAATAGTTCTGATAACTGGAGCTAATGAGCCTGCTGTCCAAATACCTCAGAGGTGAAGTTCTGAATGTGCTGTGAAACCAAGCTACCTCCATGACTTGAGGCATGGGGAGAAGAAGAAGATCCCAGGCTGGGATCTCTTCCATGGTGTCCAGTTGCAGTCTGCCTGTTCCCATCCTTCCTGGAGCAGCAGTGGGCTCCAGCACCTGCACCTTCACTGGCAGATGAAGCCAAGCCCTACTAATAACCAGGTCCTGCAGCTGATTTTAAGCTTGATGGCAGAAATGGCCATTTTTGGCCACATCACACCTTCTTTTCCAGGGTTCCCACTGGGATGAGACCTGACCCAGGTCTGCTCCCCAGGGCACTGCTCACATGGGGAGGTCTGAGGCTGAAGCAGGAGCCCAAACTATTGTCAGCTCCACTAAGTGTCCCTTATGCAGGAGTTTCAGATCACTACAGAGCTGATTTGAGGGGAATAATGCCCTCCACCTACATCAGACAAGGGGAAGGATTGTTGAAGTGTCACATTTTATGGTATAAATCCAAACTGACTGCTCCAGCCTAATAAGTAAGGTGTTTGTTTTTTTTGTTTGGTCACTCTTTTCCCCATTATGTTTAAAGGTCTAAGGAGTCAATCTTGACACCCCAGACTGTCGTCTCTGCACAGAGGTGGCAGAGGGCAAATATTGGACTTCCCACAAATATTACGTGCCTTGTACTCCCCATAGGCTAATGAAGTATGCCAAAACCATACTTCTCTGTACATGTCTCAGCTCTAAATAAATAATAAAAAATTAACAGGCAAACCTTGTGCTTTCACAGGCTCATAGTTTGTACAACCTTTTATTCAAACACCAAATATTTATTTAAAGGGATATTGAATCCTTAACAGGATCACCTTCAATATACAATTAGTTTGCTGCTATTCACTATGTCCTACACTCTTATTTTGAGTGAGTTTATCTCCAAACAGAACACACTCCCTTCCTGCAAATTCACTTTCTAAGGAGCCAGCTGGAATCTGTATTTCCTTGAAGATTAATTTTCTCTTAGTGAATTGGATTCAGAGCAGATTTAGGACAGTTTGTAACAGGCTGCCTTCTGCAATAGTGTCAGCAACTTCACAAGAGATCTCTGCAGCCTTTCTGTGCTGCATGTTGCAATATATATCCTGCAGGGAGCCTACATCCGAGCCTGGGGAGCCAGGGAATGCCCAGAATAAGGCACTAAGAAAATTAGGGCACATGTACTCCCCTCATCCCCTGTCACTCTGTGACAGACAGCCTCTTCCCCAAATGACTTACTGGGTAATAGGACAGGATGGTAAATTTATGAGCTGATCAGTTTTTAAGAAAATAACTCTCTCTGTTATGGAAATCTGCTGTCTGTTGTCAGAGGGGTTCTGGCTATGGAATCATCTGAGGTGGAACTTGCAGGATAGCTGAGCCCCTCAGTTGCTTTCAACTCACTGCATGAAGAATGTTGTTCCTGCCCTAACACTCTGAGCACACAGGTGAAATTTAAACCATTGAAATGTTTTCCTGTGCATTGAGATTCCAAGACAGTATCTCAATGGAAAAGTCATTAAGGATGAACTGTTTTTTAATCAATGTTTTGGTTTTTTTTCTGACCTGAGTCTGACAATTAATCCTTTTTGGACTTAAAGATGCATCGAATCATAACATAAAGGACAAAAATCCAATGCTTTGCTTCCTTTCCTTTAAGGAGTGTGTCTTCATCATAATCCAGGTATTTTTAGAACCCCATGTAAATACCATTACAGCTGTATCATTCCTATATTGGTTTATTTGTACACCCACAGGTATACACACAACTAATCAGCTTCTCTTTCCGTTTTAATCCATTTTTCTCTAATGATAATTTAATCCTGTCCTCTGTATGTTAACTGTTCAGTTAAGATTTCCTAAACAGTGTCTCTGATTTTTAATTATGCAATATTAAGTTAACAGAGAATAATTCAAATTCCTACACTGATGCTTTCCAAGGATGTTGTCATTTCACTCTTGTCCTGCCTAGGAAGGCAGTGTTTAATCTCAAAACAAACATCCAGCATATCTCACTCCATCTATCCCTTTCTTTCTCTCTTACTTTCCTTTTGTTTTCAAAAATGAAACACTCCTTTCTTTTAAGGGTGTATGAACCTGTACATCCTATGATAAGTCTTTGGAAGGACACTGAACTATAAAGCTGGGTATTGCAGGGAATAAGAGGCATTTGTATATATTGACTAGCACAGATTCCTTGTAAAAATCAATCTAAAAAGAAGATGTTGACATAATTTATTTTTCACAAACAGACCTGATTTCTATCCCCTTTCCCCTTGCTAAATTTAGGAATAAATTGTTTCAGAATGGCAATATTGATTTATTTTGCTTACCTGCTTCCCCATGTCCAGAAATAAAATATTCCAAGAACACAATCAGCATGATGCCTTTATGCTGCATGGCTGTCAGTAAAATATTTGTCCTCAGTGAAGCAAAAAAGACCTGCAGTAATCTACAGGTTTGATGCTTGCATGGCTTTTCTGTATTTTCTTTCTTTCTGCTCACCTTCCTCTCAGTGTAAGGGGTCAAGGCTGCTGTCTCATTCTTCTTGTTCTCGTTTGGGTCCAGAGGTGGTTTGGTTTTTTTTTCAGGGCTCGGATGCCTTCTGGGTGTCACCCATACATTGCTTCCAATAAATAAATAAATAAATAGCGAGGGGTTTCTGTGCCTTTACCCCTCTCCATGCAGCGGGCAGGGCACGCTCACATCTCTGACGCAGCCCCGCGGATGCACCATCGGGGGCTGATGCGAGGCGGTGGAGCCCTGCTCGCTCCGGTCCTTGGCGCTCCTTTGGATGCTATTTCGAAACTTTCATTTCTGCTCCTCGCTTTTGGTGGAGCTCCGGCTCGGCTGTGCCCGGGTTGGCCCCGGCAGCCCTCCCCAGCCCGTCGCACCTCCGGCAGGCTGCTGCTCCCCGGGAAGAGGGGGTGCGGGCAGCCTGAGCCCCGCTTTGTTTGTACCTTCTCTGCCTCTGCTCCCTGCAGCCTGGGGTCATAAGAAGAAGAGCTGGCTTTGCTCCCTGAGAGATGATGAGAAGCAAGTGCTTTCTTGGCTCTCCTCTCTTTTTATTTTGGTTTGTTTTATTTTATTTTATTTCCCTCCTCCCTCCGCTGTCACGGAAGCCGCTTCTCCCCCACCTCCAAGGGATTTGCTTCACACAGCGAGCGCCAGGGGAGTGGAAAACAAACGCAGCGCCAGCTCTGCGGGGCCGTGCCCGGCAATCCCCGCTCGGCGCTGCCGGAGCGGCCCCGGCAGGGCTGCGCTGCCGGGACGGAGGAGCGGAGCCCAGCGTCACAGCACAGCGCCCAAAGGGAGCGGGGAATCCGTCCTCCCTCCTGCCACAGCAGGGCTCGGGGCGGGGGGTCCTGCCCTTCCGAGGGCGGGTTAGTTATCTGCAACTTCGGTCTCCGCTCCCCTCAACCTCTGGCTAGCGCATCTCTCCGTCCTAACCGGGCACTTCTGCTCAGTTCTCCCCCTCTCTGCTCGCGTCTAGCTGCAAAGGGGATTATTAGAACATGTGATCTTTTTCCTGGGCTTTATATGTGTTTTGTTGTTTTTTTTTTTTTATTGCCTTTACTTAATTTTTTTAAGGTCAGTCCCGCACCTCCTCTCGGCTGGGCTGCTCCTGGCGGGGCTCAGCCGCGGGCGATGTTTCGCCGCCGCATGCCCTGGCCCCGCAGCCGGGCCGGCTGTGCGTGTTTGGCCGTGCGTGTCCGTCCGTCTGTCCCTGCAGCACCCTCTGCCCGCCCGGCCGGCGCACGGCGCTGCCCGGCACCGCGGGGCCCCGGCGGCTGCCCGGGCCGGCCGGCCGCGCTGGCAGGATCCCCGAACCCGGTCCGTGCCTGGCACCAACCCAGGGACACGGGGACACTCCAGTGTGTAGCAATCAGGGGGTGAAAGTGTGTGAGCTCCCCACATTTTCGTTCTCTCCTTCTTCAGGTTTCTCACCATGAACTTCAGTTGATGTAATGAGAGAAGCGGGACTGATGGGAGTGCAAGTGTTATTCTTGTGCCCTTGTGTGTGCAGGATCAGACCTTAAAGGGATTTGAAGAATGTAGGTCGAACAAAGAAGAATAAGGAAAGATTTATATCCCTTTGGGGTGGGAATGTTTATGTAAGTCAGAGTTATCTGGCTAGATTTTGGGGTAGAATTTTCTGAGTTTACCCTTCCTTTTTAATGTTTTTAATGTTTTTAATATGAAAACTCAGTAGAAAACCTTAAAATATAGAGGCTTTTCTGTCTCCTTTTTGTCTTTGCCTTTTGTTTGAAAGCAGCTAAAATACTGTATAATTACAAAACAAAATTCTCCTGCTCTAAATGGCATTATCCTTCAGAGGGTCAGTCTGCTGTGTGCTTAGCTCCCCTGGGATGCTCTGAGTTCTTTCAACTTGAGCATCTTCACTGGGAGCTGGGGATGTGCAGGATGTCCTAGAGCTAAAGGGGTTCTGACATTAATGAGAGGCTGTCATTTAATAATTGTTCTTTGTTGTCACTCCTTGTTGATTGCTGCCTTTGTGAGGAAATGCTGTATATTTTCATTTGCAGGTTTTAGGCTCATTTCTAACTGAAATGCTTTGCCCAGTTAATTTCACCAGGCTTAAAATGTGGCACTTGTAGTTCAATGGATGTAATAAAGATATGTAATAAAGATCAAGAAGCTTCTGTATATTTCAACAACAAGCCAGAATGGAGAGCAAAGTCCACGTTGCACTGTTAAGTAGAAAATCAAAGTTAAGTACATTCATTTACCTGTGATGCCTGGATGGCAGTACAAGGCTTTCTAGTTGTTGTTGACTGTAGGGTATAAAAGTGACACATAAAGGACTGAAAGCCTTCATTATTCCTCCCAATTATTGCCCGTCTTGAGAAAGCCACTTCCAGTGCTAATGAGTACATTTCCAGTACAATGCTATGAAAATCCATTAATGCCTGTGAGCTGCGAGTAGTAACACCTAAGGGGGAAATTTTGCTGTTTTGATGACCACTGCTGATGTCTAGAAGATGAATTGGTGAGATCTCAGGAACTGCCCATACCAAGGGGTGTCAAACAGAGAATACCCATCTTAACTGAACAGTGTGTATGAACAGTGATGTGAATAATCCTTAACTTTCATTAGTTCCTAAACTATAGTAACATAAATGTACAATTCATGATGTCTCAGTCAATATTCCTTCTGCAGACCACCACTCTCACGTGAACATTGGGGAGATCAGTTTATTTGGAATGTGACTGAATTTTCTCTGGTGGCTTAGCACGGCACCAGTTGACAAAGCACCCAGAGAATAATCAAACTGTGAATCATTCATTTTGGGGGAGGAGGGAAGAGCCAATGGCATGGCACAGAGTGGGGAGGTGTGTCACTGTACCAGCTGTCCTCTCTGCTTCACAGCCCTGGTTGCAAAAGCCAGAGGACAGTCTGTCCTCCTGGAGACCCCCCTGCAGTGGTGGCACATTTGAATCGTGCAGCATCTTGCTTTCCTGCACCCTTTCTTGTACCTCCCTTTCCTCACACCTCTCCAGTTTGCCTTGCCTTTCCTCCTCCTATTTCCTCAGCAGCTATGACCAGCCTGAAGGAAATCTGTCGTGGCCTTCCTCTAAACCCTCTGCCTGAAAACAAAGGTCGGAGAAAAGGAATACCCCATGCACCCGTGAGAACACCCAATCTCACTGCTCAGGAGAAAAAGGTAACGTGGGCTTTCACAGGGCTTCATTTCTCTGCCCTTCAGATAAAGGCATCTTGGGGCAGCAAACCTGATTGCCTCAAATGCTTTTCTGAATGGAAAGCTAACTTTGTGTCAAATGTATTTCCTTGGTGTCATTATTCACTCTGTAATGGGACTAAGGACTGGAAGCTCTGCTGTTTGCTTCCTTTCTTCCTCCTCCAGAATAACTGGGATACGAGGGAGATTTTCTGCACAACACCTTCCATGGCTTTAAAAGGCTAAACAAGAAGCATTAGACTCCAATACTGTCAATCCAGCACTGTTTCTCAGAGGTGAAATTCAGAATGCTGTTGCAAAATCATTGCATATGTATGTGAGTGAAAGCTAACCCCTCCAATACAATAAACATCAGAGACTGATGAATCAGCATCATGGTAGCAGCTACACATCTGTATATTTGCATCAAAAAATCCAAAGATGACTTCTTTTATACAGAAGTCTGGGTATGAATTCTAGGTGAGTTTGTGGAGAGTTAATTATTTGTCTTTAGTTGCATAATTATTTTCCTGTCTCTTTTTGTTTAAATAGTCTTCGTACACACCAAAGTAATCATTGCATTATTTAATGTTCAAGACTAAATAAATCAGCAGCAGAAAATAATGGTCAATGGGTGGAGGTGCTTAGGAATTTGTGTGGGAGAGGATAAGGTGGGTTCCTTAGCTTGGAAGTCTGTGCTTCATCACATGTAACATCACTTATACTGAGACATTCTGGTCAGAACACAGAAGTTGCTTCCCCAATAACAACTTGCACACAACTTCCTTGCCTTCGTGGGAGTTCCCCACTGGCATCAGCAGTCAAATTCTTTCAAAGTCATTTCCACAAACAGAGGAGAGTCTAGTCAAAGGGTAGGAAGAGGAACAGCTGTGAGATGTCCAAAGAGGATTTACTTCAATGTCAGGAGCATTCATGGCTGAGGCATCCTGCCTGTGCCTGGGACAGCTCAGACCCATGGAGGTGTGGTTACTAAGTGTGCAGAAGGGCTGTGGTGGTGGCTGTGAAAATAAAGCCGTGGGGAGTGAGTTTCACTGCATGTCAGAACATTGCCAATCATCTCTGGTTTATTCCTTGCCTTTCCTGAATCCCTCTTCCCCAGAAGTCTGATATAGCAGGAAGAAGTCCATGTATCAGGAGAGGAGATGGTGTCTCTCAAGAGGATCACAAACCTTGCTCTCTTACCTGTGGAGGGGAAGGCAATGACAAGGTCTTCACTCCCTATATAGAAACTGGAATAGTTTCCTGCCTCCTTTAAGGTTTGGAACAGTTGACTGATTATTTTGCCCCAGCTGACTGTGTATCATCCATCTCTTATCTCTCCATTTCACCTACTGCACATGATAAGAGGTCATGCTAGTTGAGTATTTCATTAGACTATTAGAGATTTTAAGGTTTTCTTTATGATTTACTTTATGGTTAGTCCTCCACCTTAAACTCTTAAGAGAATTAGAGGCTCAGCTGGTATTTTTTTCATATCTGAAAAGTCAAATCTATTTTTTTAAGAATTGCTCCATGCTAAGAAAAGCATGTAGATGAAATATTGGTTGTCTATAAGGTTTTTTTAAGTCATCTTGAGACAGGCTTCCAGATGTTGTTGACAGTGTGTAATTCTGAACATATTACAGTACTTGTCTTTATATATGGCTTCGTGTTCACTTTCTAATTGAAATATTCAGAGGAAGCTTTGACAGAAGTGAAGTTCATAATGCTCTGCTGATTTCCTCTGGATTTCTCCCTATTTTCATATGCCTTCATTCCAGTTTTAGTCCTTGTTACAATAATAAACCTTACCACTGCCAATGTTTTATTTTCTTGGGCCGCCTTTTGTGGTTATAACAGAAATCCTGTAAGTGAGATTTATAAAGAACTGTGTGTTTTGGGACTTGCTGAAGAAGTACCTAATTCTTCCTATCATACCAGCTTTAATCTTCTTGGATAAATTGAGCCATATCTCAGAACTGATTCTGATTATATGTTTCCTGAATTCTCTTCCTTCAGCATTCTTTGCCTGAGGCCTGAAACAGCCACATCCTCTCTCTTTCCCTCCCTCCACAGCTCAGGAAACTCTAGCTTTCTGTTTCTCAGCATCTGTATCTTAATGCAAATATGCCTCAAAGAAACTACCCTTAAAATCTAGGTGTGGTGTGTGCTTTGCAGAACAAGGGTGTTGCGTGCTTTGTACTCACTGACATTCTGATAAAGCTGGAACAACTTGGAAAGAATGGCCACTTCTCTGTGTTGATCAGGATCAGGCAAAATGGTATGGCTTCATCCAGACAGCAATTCTCCTCTGGATCTTAGAGGCAAGGCATGTCACAGTCCCCCTGCTAATCCCCCCAGCAGGATCCTCTCTCCCCTGATTGCAGTATCTTGTGTTTCTGGGGCAGCACTGGGGTCAGTAATGGGTCTTGATGACCCTGATGAGCCTCTCCTGAGGTGTCCTCCCACAGCCTCTGCCCATGGGCTTAGGGGCTCCATTTAGGCTGAGGCCTGGGGCTCTGTCTCAGTTATGCTGGAGATGTTTTTTGTTCTGTTCAGGGTGTCCTTGTACTCAGCCATGGCCCTCCTGGGTCTGCTCTCCCTCCTGTGGGCTGACATCCTACTCTGAGCCTCGCTGGGGATCTCTGTGCTCCATCTCTCCATTATAACATGGAGGGATCACCATCACCTGGTCCTTTAATTGAACTTCCAGCTTGGTCCTGGACCTGCAGGTCAGTCTGGTCTTGCCTGATGACCAGGACTGCTGGGGGA